AGTGATTCGGACATACTTTCTCCGGCCATGGAGATTTCATAATTCCTGGTGTATGTCTGGAAAATCTCCCCTCGTCATGAGTCCAAACCAAATTAATGTCTTTCAGAGTGACCTGAGGAATTAATGAGGTTTTTGCTGTCAGTTCTACCCATCCAGGGTCAAGTAAATCATTTGCTGGCTCTCGGGCCGCTGTTCGTCTGCTGCCTCTCTGACTCCACGTCCAATGATAACAACGTTGCAGATGCCTTTGAAATACGGCATCACCGACACTCTCTGTCCATCTGCTGGGACATATTTTAGGCTCTGCTTCTCTTTCTGCTGTAAACTCGGCCTCTAATGGAGTTGGTAATCGCTGATAAATGGGGTATCAATGAAGTCAGTGTACTGGAGGTTTCCCCATTCTTTTCTGCTGATGTGTGCTATTTAAATCTCCTCTGACATTTCTTAAAATTATTGTGTGCCCAGCTCTTTAATTCCCCTACTGGTGTTCTTGGCCAAAGACAGACTTGAGTTATTTTTTTCCTTCTTCTTTTCGGACAAACTGAAGCTGAATGGTAAGAGGCTTTCCTGGGGAGCCTTTTGTTCTTCCTACAAGAAGCAGGTCTACAATCTGTGGTCAGATCATGTCTACAGAACTGGTTGGAATCTTTTGGATTTTTCTACTCCTCTCCCACCATCCACATGCTGGGACCAGCTCCTCTGTAACCCTAATCTGTGAGATAATTTGAAGTCCTTGTAAGTCTTGGTATTTCTGCACTAAAGATCTGGAGTTTTAGTGTTTGTCACTAAATTTCATCAGTGTCTTTTGCCTTTCTGTAACTGTTTACAAATGAAGATTAAAAGTAAGAGCAATAATTGTCTCCTTCCACCCCATGCCCCTTGTTGTCTTAAAATTTTTATTGTGCTGAATACATGATTGAGTTGCTGTTGCTGACAAGACAACCAAGACAGGTTAGGTAATGTCTCATGTGGATCCTTAGCTGTATGTTCAGAGGAACCAGGAGCTTGCTGCTCTCCACTTACCCTTTTAGAATAGAAAAACATAGGGAAGTTATCCATCAACCACTGGGGTTCTGTTACCAGTCATAGGGATATAAACATGTTCCAATGAGTCATAAAAGGTTACAGCTTAGTCTGAGTCCCCTTGGTCTCCCAGAACCTCAGTTTCCTTATCTGTGAAATGGGCATGACCACAGGTGCCTTACTTGCCACATAGGATTTAGGAAAATTGGTGCTGGTGTTTGCTAGCATTTTTGAGCACTTATGCGTTAAATAAGGAGCTGAGTACCTGTGCTGTTTTATTTCATTTAATCTGCATAATAATTCCATGAGGCAAGTACTATTAATACCGCTATTTTACTGACAAAGAAATAGAGATATCAATAAAATAATGAGGGTTTTACGTTTTTGTAGCTCTTACTGTTTCAAAACACTTTTATTTCTTTCCCGCTCATAAACTTTGTGAGGCATTTACTATTTCTTTATTTGCAGTTTAGAGAGAGGCTGAGGGGCTTTCTTGAGGTTACCCTAACCAGGACGGGCAGTGCTCCTACTTGAGAGAGACATAGTAACTGTAAATGTGCTTCAAAAAAATTTAGCTAGGTTAATAATATATTTAAGGTACCCAGTCGTCTTTGGTATGATATGTTCTATTAACGGGGAACTGGAAAATAGTCTCGCCACACTCAAACCTGAGATTAGCCTGCAAAACAAACAAAACCAAACTATTATGGGCAAGCAAATGATAACCAAATAAGGACGGGGGAAGGTGAGGGGAAGATGTGGGAGAATATACTGACTGAAATGAGGAACTTTAGGGAATTTGATGAAAATGGGTCAGAGGTTGAGCAGACACCCTAATGAACAATTTTGATAAAACTGGAAATGTCAGGCAAGCTGAACCCCTCTGAGGCTTCTCATTCATTTTTTATTTTGTTCAGCTGGGAAATGCCTCAGAAGTTTTTCTTCAGTGGTTTGTTTCTCAATTGTTGGAAATGGGCATGTGGTTTGCATTTAAAACAAAACAAATAGTACAGGTAAGGTGAGAATTAACTTCAGGGCACAGAGTTGGGAGAGGTTCCCTTTAATTGCAAAGATTTGCTTATTTGTTTTTTCAAGTCCTCAGTCCTTAACATCCTAGACTTAAGTCCTAGGTGCTCACCTGTTGCAAAGGGCCCACTGGAACATGTGTGTGGCTCGTGGGTGTGGTTAAGAGAAGCCGGTTTTATTCCCCTAAAAGATGATGGAATTACTTGGCTCGGAGCAAGTATAGTAAGGGTGCACAGTCTCAATAGGAACCTCAGAAATAATGCCCGCAGGACCACTGCACTTGGTGAGACTAGTGTAGCTGCTCAAGCAGACTTCTTTGTGCGGCTTTGAAACTTTCTCTAACTCTTACCTGCTAGTGCAAAACCATGGGCAAGTCAATGAGTACTTGAGCCTCTTTTTTTTTTTTTTTTTGGCCTGGAAAATGGGGGGCGTAGCGGCAGGGAGGATAACACCCAGCTCCTAGGATGACAGTGAGTGTGAGATGGGATAGAGTATGTGAAAGGTTTAAAGCATTAGCAACTGCCAGTAGTAATCATTATTAGAGATCCTCTCTGGAACATTTTTACCTGTGAAATCAAGTGACGATTAAAACCAAGGGCCCCCTTGAAGCCACAAGGAGGCCAGCAAAAGTGTGGGGACACAGGGAGGGCAGATCCACTTTCTGTCTTGGTGGTGGCGGCGGTGACTAAAGGACGTAGGTGGGTTCTGGCCTGTGTGTGACTTGGAGTTTGGCAAAGACTTCTTTCTCACTGAGGTCTCTGTCTTCTCTTCCACCGGCTGCCTCCCTTCACCAGCACCCCTCAAACAAGCACACAGGCCTTGAAAATGTGGGGTAATGAGTGATTTGTTTCCCCAGAATTCAAAGCCAAAATGTTTTGCCTTCTGGATGCATGTGCTGGCCAACTAAAAGTAAACTGCAGCTTAGCTTTACCTAATTTCCCAGTAAAAGCTGAAGTATTTAATAAAACAGAAATGAAATGAAATGCTCGGGAACTTCTCTTGCACCAACCACAGGCTGCAGAAAGTCAACCTCCTCCTCTTTCAGGCCGCCTCTGCGGAGGCCGCCGTGACCCTCCTCTCTGTGAAAGAGCTGTGTTTTCAAACCAGCCAGGTGCTGAGTGCTCAGGCAGGCCAGTAACCTTGTGCCACCGTCAGCAATAACCCAGCCAGCTCTGCCTTTTGATAAAGCGACCGGCAGCTCCAAGGAATGAGATTTCCCCGTGTGCCTCCTCACGTCAATTCGGGCTCAGTTTGTGAGGCTGGCGGTTAAGAAGACATTTCTTGTATTTTCCTGGATAGAGCTGGAACCCATACTACTAAGTGAAGTTTCCCAAGAATGGAAAAACCAGCACCACATGTACTCACCAGCAAATTGGTATTAACGGATCAGCACCTAAGTGGACCCATAGGAGTTACATTTATGGGATATTGGGCGGGTGGTAGGGGGAGGGGACAGGTATATACATACATAATGAGTGAGATGCGCACCGTCTGGGGGATGGACACGTTTGAAGCCCTGCCTCGAAGGGGGAGGGAGGGGCAAGGGCATTATACGCAACCTTAACATTTGTACCCCCATAATATGCTGAAATAAAAAAAATAAAATAAAGAAAAAAACAAGGCATTTTTGCCCAGGATGACAAGAAAGAAGCCCAGCATCACAGGCGTTATGAGAGGTGGCTTCTCACGCTGGCTGAGAGGTGATGTCCGTACACTCCACACCTGCCAGTCTCGTCTTTGGTGCTGTGAGGAGTCTGAAAAGCCCTCTGTTGTGGAGCCACTGCCATCACCGCTACATAGAGGCAAGGACTCTTTGCTGGGATATTGTGTCGGGCTGTTATGGTTTAAAGAGCAAAATCCATAGCCCTGCATGTGAGCGCATGAGAGTCACCTGCTCCTAACACAGGGCCCAGGTCAGACGTCAGTGGTGCCTGCATGCTGAATGAGTGAGTGAATGAATGAACAAATGTGTGAAGTCATCTATGGTCGGTAACCAGGGAAGAAAGATGTTTCTGGATCATGAACAGAACCACTGGAAGAGAACCTATACCACTTTGGTCCTAGCTGCGGAGGGTGGCGATATTTTGACTTGGAGGATGCTCCTGGGGGGAGAATGGAGATCGTGTGGGCTCAAAATAGGGATCTGGCTAGGAGCCAGCAGGCAAAGACGATCTGCAGAGGCCTTGGATGCCAGGCTGAGCAGTGCGGCTCTCCCTGAAGGTAAAAAGACAGCAGACATTTTTCTGCCCAAATATGGCATGAGCACAGACACCTCTCTGCCCCCCTCTATTTATACCTGTTATCTATCTATCTGTATCTCTGTTATGGACCGGATTGTGTCCTCCTGAAAGTCATATGTTGAAGCCCTAACCCCCAATGTGACTGTATTTGGAGATAAGGCTTCTGGGAGATAATTAAGATGAAATTCGTAAGAGTGGGACCCTAATTCAGGTAGGATTGGTGGCCTTATAAGAAGAGGAAGAGAGAGGGGTTCCCCTCTCTTTTCCCTGACATAGGCCCTGAGGCAAGGCCATGAGAAGCCACAGGGAGAAGGCAGCTGCCTGCAGCCTGGGGAGAGCCCTCACCGGCCCCCCGGTCTGCGGGCACCTCCATCCTGAACTCCCAGGAGAACCGCGAGGGGTAAATTTCTGTTGGCGAAGCTGCCCAGTCTACGGCATTTGGTGATGGCAGCCCCGAGCCGAGACAAAGAAGTAAAATGGGAGCAGCTACTGCTCCAGACCCGACAGGCCGTGGTGAGCAGGCCCTAGGGATTACGCAGGGAACCGTGGCAGGGCGGGGCAGGACATCCCTGAGTGACGGGGTGGACAGACCAGCTCTCAGAGAAGGTGCGGCCGGCTCCAGCCCTGAAGCCTTGGCCTGCAGTGTGTTTGGGGGCTCCCTGCGTTTTGAAGAGGATCAGTGGAGAGGAGACTCACATTGTGACGTTAGCAGGAGGCTCTCAGGAGCGCCCTCTTCAGGTGGGAGGCCAGGCCCAAGCAGCACAGCAGGTCGACTGCAGTGATGTCCCTGGTGAGCAGAGGTGTGGTAGCCAGGGCGCGGCCTGGTGCGGGGGCTGGGTTGGGACGCGCCCTGCGTGGGGGTGCGCCGTGTGCGCACCCATGAGTCTGCGCTTTCTTTGCACCATATCAAAACCATGGCAACCTGTGGAGCGGCAAATACAGAATAGGTTTACAAACTAACTATGTTTGTAACAGGAAATGTTTGGCAAGAACAGTGATCTGTTGTGACGTTGCTTATACATGTATAACTTTTTCCTCATCACTATGTAATGTGGTTTTGCAGCTATCTAGCCAGTCAGAGACTAGAACGAGAGGATTTAGGTGTTATTGTACAGCGCATGAAATAACTGGTTACTAGGAGGCTTCAGTTAGGTGTAAGTTTAGGCTGTTGAAAGCACAATGACTCACTGATAGGTGCGAAGTGCCCCCTCCTTCAATTCTGTCCTCACTCAGAACCCTCTCCTCCCCCTTCTTCCCTCTGTCCCCAAGAATGACATCATTTCCTCGCTGGCTGTCAGTCCTACATGATCCCCATGTGACTGGGCAAATAGAAACCTTCTGCCTCATCATAACGGCTAATAATACCACATCCCTGCCAGGAAATTTTCAAATAAGAGAACTGGATGAGAAAAGTAATTGCCTCATATTTATGGCTTTGAATGTGCTTGTCATCATGCCATGTCCACTTATGCATTTCCTCTTTTCTCCCAATAATCGTTGCATTTTTAGTCCATTTTTTGAGAGAGTCATTTTGAGGAACAAATGGCCTTATTAAGATACATGCAGGCCTGTTCTGGTTACTTTCAGCAGCATGGATATGGCCAGGAGAGGCCTGGGCATGGGTGGACCTTGGCCCACTGGGCTGGGAAGGAGATGACTTGAGGAAAATGAGCACACTAGGTAGAACAAGTGATAGACTGGCACGTGCCAGGCATGGGAAGAGCCAATACAAAGTGACGGAGAGTCTAGCCTGGCCAGTGGGGCAAAGCTGTGGAGATTAATAGGAAGGGGCCACAGTAATAACTAACTAACATTTATCGAGGCTGTCACCCATGTGCTGGGCACTGCCAGATGATTTCCTTTTGGTATCTGACTCTGACGTAGAACTGATCCTCTGGCAAATTTAACATCATTAAATGCTCATATCAACCATTCATGGCAAAGATTATTGTTAATGTGATTGCACAGATGAGGATACTAAAGTCCCAGGCCACAGGGCTAACCAGTGGCAGGGCTGCGAGGCTGTGCTCTTCCTCCCCGTCTCCCCGACACTGCACCGGATAAATTGTGGCCAGATAGAAGTTCTCCCGTCCAAGTGGCCGGCCAGCTCCCCCTGCTTTGTCACACCACGCCTGGAAGCCTGGAGGGTGACTGTCAGGCTTTGGGACTATTGGAAGGTCAGACCACTCTTTAGAGATGTGGAGTGGGAAAGATCTGCTTCTCCACATGTCTTGTACCCACCAGTTGTGGAATAAATGGTGGGCTGAAGAAACGATAGAGGCCAGTGTGGTGCTCAGAAACATGAAGATAATAATTTAGGGTAAAAGAGGAGAAAGAAAGTAAATAAGGAAAAGAGAGCAGGAATGGGCTGGGGTGACAGGGCCCTGAAGCTAACGAGTAGGAGGAAGGAAGCCTCTTTTGTTCTGAATGGGTGAAATATTAAATTTTCCTGCCTGAAAGGTATATAGTGGTGTAGGGTTTGGATGTTTAACCAAAAGGAGGAATTGCATTTTCTACTATTGATCAGAGATTCATATTAGTTTTTCTATTTATGTGTTTGTTAACTAAATGGCATTTCAAATTATTATTTCTGTTATAAAAAGCTACCATTCTCTTAGGCTTCATCTTGCTTGGATGCCTCGTCCTTCATCTTGCAACTGCTCTGGTCTCTGTGACCCACACTCCTGCCTGGTTCTCTTGCAGCAATCTGATTTTCTGTTGCAGTCTCTCTAACTCCTTTTCATCATTCCATCCCTTAAGAACCGAGCTCCACCAGTTTTACTAGGTGGCTATTGCTGTGTAACAAGTGACCCCAAAGCTTAGTGGCTTTAAACAATGAACATTTATTTATCTAAGATTCTATGGGTCTACTGAGCTATCCTGTTGGTCTGAGTCAACTGATCTAGGCTGGACTCCTCCTCTATCTGTGGCCTGCTGCCACGTCAGCTGGGAGCTGGCTGGTTTAGGATGGCTTCGGCTGGCATGGCTTGTCTTGGCTTGGCTTCATATGGTCTCGATCTTCCAGGAGACCAGCCTGAGCTTGTTCACATGGTGGTATCATTCAAAGAGAAAGAGGAGGAATGTACAAGGCTCCCTGGGGTTAGGCTTGGACTTTGCATAATGACACTCCTGTTGCATTTTATTGAACAAAGCGAGTCACAAGAGCAGTCCAGGTTCCAAGGTTGGGGAAATAGATTCTTTTTCTTGGTAGGAGGAGATGCAAAGTCACATTATAAAGGGGTAGAGGCATGGAAAGGAGTGAAGAATTGTGGCCATTTCTCCAAACAATCTTCCCTACTAGGATATTGCTGTTGGTTGTTCAAATGTTCTCTCTAGATAAATTCAATCAGTGTCACAGTTTTCCCCTTATTCTGTGCCCCATGATATCATGTGTTGTCTTTTATAAAATTTAATTTTCTTCTGTAAAATGGAGGACTGACTCTACTTTTGTCATCACCTTAAATAAACAGAAAGTTCCCTAGCAGTGCATGGAATAATTTGGTGAAAGGATTTTGAATTAGGACTAGTGGCAGAAATTGCTCTTTGTCCACTAGGACCCAATTCTACCCTTTTTTAGTAGGAGCACTGTTATGCACATGGCTGGCCATTTAGAGACTACATTTCCCAGGTTCCCTTACAACCTTGATCAGGCCATGTGTCTTATTTGTGGCCCATGAGATGTGAGCAAGAGAAAGGCAAGCCAAGGAAGGGGCCTGAGCTGCCCTGTCTCTTCCCCTTTTCTTTGGGGTTGGAAGAATTGGAACACCTAAATTGTACCTAGAGACAGAAATCACATAGAAGATGGCAGAGTCAACCCAAAAGAACTGGGCTACCTGATTTTGAATTGCAAAATGAGAGAAAAATAAACTATAATCTTATTTTAACCTTTGTATGAGGGGTCTTCAAAAAGTTCATGCAAAATGTGTATTATGAAAAAAGTATGCATGGGTTTCACAATTTTTCTGCAACAAAATAAATGTGTATTAACTCGTTATAACATGTCTGAATAGGATCCAGTTTGAGGGATTAAGAAGGATAAGGCATCAGTTTGAAAACAGCCCCTATCAGAGCAACATGAATTCTCCTAAAATTGAAGCAAGAACAAATAGCAAATTTATGGTGAAGCTTGGGTGGAAGAAATATGAAATAATTGATGCTTTACAAAAAGTTTATGCAGATAATGCTCCAAAGAAATCAGCAGTTTACAAATGGATAACTCATTTTAAGAAGGGATGAGACTATGTTGAAGATGCGGTGTGCAGGGGCAGATAATCCACTTCAATTAATCTCATTCAGGCCCTATTTAAAGAGCATTGATGATTAATAGCACAGACAATTACCAAAGCCACAAACACCTCAACTGGTTCAGTTTACACACTTCTAACTGAAAAATAAAAGTTGAGCAAACTTTCCACTTGATGGGTGCCAAAAACTCTCGCACCCAGATCAGCTGCAGACAGGAGCAGAGCTTTCAATGGAAATTTTAAACAAATGGGATCAAGATCCTGAAGCATTTCCTTGAAGAATTGTAAGAGGTGATGAAACATGGCTTTACCAGTATGATCCTTAAGACAAAGCACAATCGAAGCAGTGGCTACTAAGAGATGGAAGTGGTCCAGTCAAAGCAAAAGCAGACCAATCAATAGCAAAGGTCATGGTGATAGTTTTTTGGTGATGCCCAAGGTATTATGCCTGTTGATTTTCTGGAGGGCCACAGAATGATTTTGTCTGCTTATTATGAGAATGTTTTGAGAAAGTTAGCCAAAGTTTTAGCTAGCAGAAAAACACCCAAGAAAACTCCTCCAGAGAGTCCTTCTCAACCATGACAGTGCTCCTGCTCACTCCTCTCACCAAACAACGTTATGAGAGTTTTGATGGGAAATCATCAGGCGATCCACCTTGTAGTTCTGATATGGCTCCTTCTGACTTCTTCCCCTTACCTCCAATCTTAAAAAATCTATAAAGGGCACCCATTTTTCTTCCATTGGTAATGTAACAAAACTTCATTGACTTGACATGGTTAAATTCCTAGGACCCTCATTTCTACTTTTTTGAGACAGAATCTCACTCTCTTGCCCGGGCTAGAGTGCTATGGCATCAGCCTAGCTCACAGCAACCTCAAACTCTTGGGTTCGAGTGATCCTCCTGCCTCAGCCTCCCGAGTAGCTGGGACTACAGGAGTGTGCCACCATGCCTCGCTAATTTTTTTCTATATATTTTTAGTTGTCCAGCTAATTTATTTCTATTTTTTTTTAGTAGAGATGGGTCTCACTTTTGCTCAGGCTGGTGTTGGACTCCTGAGCACAAACAATCTGCCTGCCTCGGCCTCCCAGAGTGCTAGGATCACAGGTGTGAGCCACTGCACCCTTCCAGGACCCTCAGTTCTTTAGGGATGGACCAAATGGCTGGTATCAATGCTTATAAAATTGATAGAACCTGATAGAGCTTATATTGAGAAACAAAATTTGTGTTTTATTTTATCTTTTAATTCCACTTTCCATGAAATTTTTGAGGCTTTTTTTACAGCAACTCAGCCTGTGCTCTGATATGGTGATGGGAGAGTGGTGTGAATGATGGGAGGTGACAATGGCAATACCAGGCTTTGTATTTATTTCTGCCCCAGTCTCTTCAATGAGACAAGAGAGAGCAGGGACCATGAAGACCATAGAGAATGACAGACAATTCTGGAGTGTATGGAGATTAAGGGCACCACTGCAGGGGCAGAACCTGGGTCCATGGCATCTAAGGATTCATGGACCTAATGGCCTCTGCCTAAGGACTTTGGAAGGG